GGGCCTATGGCGTCGGGCCGTGGGTTGCTGGCGTGGGCTTGTGGCGTTGTGAGCGAGGGGAGGGGGCGCGGCGCGTACCTTGGGGAGCGCGCGGATGTGAGCCGGACGCTGGGCCGTGGGTCAGGCGTTGTGGTCTGTGTGAGCGGGGCGCGGCCGTACTTGGGCGACGCGCGGTGCTGGCTGCTGCTGCTGCTGCTGCTGCGGGGCGGGCGCGGCGGCGGGGCCGCTGGGCGCGGGGCCGTCGCCGTCCGGGTGGCGCCGCTCGCCGCGCTCCTTCTTGCGCTGCTCCTTGCGCTGCTTCTCCAGCTGCCGCTGGCGCTCCTTCTCTGCAACACGCGCCGCCCCCTCCGCCGCTCACGCACACGCACGCTCACACGCACGCCCACACGCACGCCCACACGCACGCTTACGCGCCACCGCTCAAGCGCAAACACGCCTCGGCGCAGGCAGCAACGGACACCAGCCCAAGCTCACACAAGGCCAAGCACAGACACCCACAGGCCCAAGCCCACGAGCCCAAACCAAGGCACCCAACGCGCCCACTCGAAGTACACACAAGCCTCGACCCAGACATCAGCGGTCCTAGCTCAAGCTCATACAGGCTCAAGCCCAGGCACACACAAACTCAGGTACCCAGAGGACCCACGCCCAGGACTTCACGAGCCCAAACCCAGGCACCCACTCGAAGTACACACGCGCCTCAACCCAGACACCAACGGACAAAGCCCAAGCCCGCACAGGCCCCAGAGCAAGCACCCACAAGTATAAGTTCTGCTACCCATGGAACGAAGCCCAGCCACCCCACGAACCAACTCAAAGCGCCCACAGGTATCAGCCCACACACTCGAGAGCACCGGCCCAGACACAAACCCAAGACCCACAGTCCCCAGCAGATGCACGAATGGTCCCCAGCCCAGACAGCCACGGACACAAGCCCAAGCACAGACAGGCCCTGGAACAAGCACCTAGAGGTCCAATCCCAGATGCCCACGGCCTACTCGAAGTACACACAAGCCCCAACCCAGGCACTTACGTGCCAAAGCCCACGCACACATAGACTTGTCCCTGGGCACCAGCCTAGGCACAAGATCTAATATACACTAGCCCCAACCCAGCCACGAAGTAGCCCACGTCGAAGCACATAGCCCATGCGTCCACGAGCACCAGCTGCGGCACCAACGGGTCATAAGCTCAAGGACACGCCAGAACCTACTCGCCGAAGCCCAGGTATCTCAGCACATTGCATGCCCACGTCCAGTCACCTAGGTGCCCACAAACCCAAGCATTCACATGCCCATGCCCAGGAAACCTTCAACGTGGCGTCGAGCCTGTCAGGGGACATGCTCTAAACTCTCGATTGATTTGTTGGCGTGTGTAGTAGTGAAATGCATGTAAGTGAAAGTGTGTGTGAGTGTATAAGGGAGGAGGGCACAAGGATGGAGTAGAATCGAGCGCAGTATTTGGACCATTTTTTAGGGTACGTCTTCGGCATTCGCCTGACACTGAACAGAAGTGTTTTATCGTGTCATGGACTAGTAATCCTTATATCTCACAGCGCTCCAGCTGCCAGAAGAGGAGACCTCTTCCTCTGGAACTCTACAGCTCTGGGGATGGAACTCCTCCCTTGAACTGGCATTTCGCGACGTTTCTGGCAACTAGATTAACGTTGTTACATGCGAGATGCCACAGAATGGTAAGAATCTTTTTGTGAGCAGAGCTTGGGGCACGAAATAGCACTGCGTCATGGCCTGACGGAAGCCCAGATGAAGGGAACCTGTATGTGGTGAGTGTAAGTGTGTGCTTTTAGCATGTTCAGTCTGTCTCCGTACCTAGCATATACAATTACGTTATGAGTATGTGTCTGGGTACCAATTTGCCTACATTTCTGACTTTATAGCTAACAGCAACAGTACGAATACATTTAGAAAGTAGTTGGCATTTGGTGTGGAGGGCTGAGCAAACAGGAGGAAGGAATGTTGAGAAACTCGTAACATATGTTTGCTGTAATATTAGTTCCCTAATTTTAGGTGACTTCACTGAGCAAATGCCGAAGTTTCTGATTCGCTGTTTCCTAGGTCACGTCTCTGGCGTCACCATGTGACCACGAAACGTCAAATACAATATGATTTTAATCCGATCTTAATATTTGAGTAAATGGTGTTTAAGCTGTTCAAGAATTGACCGTCAAATTTCCAACTGGGATAGTAAATTCTTTGAACAGCCCCGAAGCTTCTGATTCTCTGTTCCCTTGGCCACGACTCTGACGTCATCACATGGCCACGAAATGTCAACTGTATTCTGATTTTTTTTTGAATCTTAATATTTGATTAAATGGTGTTTAAGCTGTTCAACAATTGACCGTCGAATCCCCAACAGAGATAGTCAATTCTTTGAACATCCCCGAAGCTTCTGATTCTCTGTTCCCTAGGCCACGACTCTGACGTCATCACGTGACCACGAAATGTCAACTACATTCTGATTTTTTTCGAATCTTAATATTCGATTAAATGGTGTTTAATCTGTTCAAGAATCGACCGTCGAATCCCCAACAGGGATAGTCAATTCTTTGAACATACCCGGGTGGGAACACATCAGTCATTTCTTTGGCCAGCTCAAACACCATTTAACCTCTCCGCTTGTGTGTCAGTGTGTCATCCCGCAGCCAGTGGGTGCGTGCAGTGCAGTTGGTTCCATTTAAAGCAGTTGATGCAATTGAGCAGTTGGCGCCACCGACCTTCCTGCTTGGCGGCGACGTCCGCGCGGTACTTGTCCAAGATGGCTGCCTCGGCGTCGCGCGTCATCGCCAGCAGCGAGCCCGGGGTCTCGTCCTTGGAGCGCAGCGCCTGGATGTAGTCCTCCATCAGCTGGCCGATCTTGGTGCGCAGCTCAGGGAACCTGCCGCGCACGCACAGTCAATCAATCAATCAACCAATCATTCTAAAAGATCTTGGTGCGCAGCTCAGGGAACCTGCCGTGCGCACACAATCAATCAACCAATCATTCTAAAAAATATTGGTGCGAAGTTCAGAGAACTTGCCACGCACACAGTCAAGGAATCATTCAATCATTCTAAAAGATCTTGGTGCGCAGCTTAGGGAAACCGCCGCGCACATACAGTCAATCAATCAATCATTCTAAAAAATCTTGGTGCACAGCTCAGAGAACCTGCCGCGCACACACAGTCAATCAATCAATTAATCATTCCAAAATATCTTGGTGCGCAGCTCAAGGAACCTGCCGCGCACACAGTCAATCAATAAATCAACCAATCATTCTAAAAGATATTGGGGCGCAGCTCAGGGAAACTGCCGCGCACACACAGTCAATCATTCAATCAATCTAAAAGATCTTGGTACGCTGCTCGGGGAACCTGCCGCGCACACACAGTCAATCAATAAATCAATCAATCATTCTAAAAGATCTTGATGCGCAGCTCAGAGAACTTGCCGCGCACACACAGTCAATCATTCAATCATTCTAAAAGATCTTGGTGCGCAGCTTAGGGAAACTGCCGCGCACACACAGTCAATCAATAAATCAATCAATCATTCTAAAAGATCTTGGTGCGCAGCTCAGGGAACCTGCCGCGCACACACAATCAATCAATTAATCATTCCAAAAGATCTTGGTGCGCAGCTCAGGGAACCTGCCGCGCACACACAGTCAATCAATCATTCAATCATTCTACAACGTGTTCTGTAAACATCCCGATTCTCGACGAATTATTCAATATATTTCAGCAAATAAGGTGTTGCTTGAAAAATTTGAAGACCCTGATGTCGGCACGTGTGTCAGACATAATAATATATGTTACATAAAATAATGTTAATTTTTTTGGAATTGCCCACATCAGCACAATTTGACATGTTGAAGTGGAATGCAGTGGAGTGGAGAGAGGTGAAGTGGAATGGAGTGGAGGGAAGTGGAGTGGAGAGAGGTGAAGTGAAATGAAATGACGAGGAGTGAAGTGAGATAAAGCGCAACGGAATGAAATGACGTGGAGTGAAGAGAGGTGAAGTGGAATGGGGTGGAGTTGAGTGAAGTGGAGGGACGTGGAGTGGAATGAAATGGCATGGAGTGAAGTGGAATGGAGTTCAGTTGAGTGAAGTGGAGTGGAATGGAGTGAAATGACGTGGAGTTTAGTGACGTGAAGTGGAGTGGAACGGTGTGGAATGGAGAGGAGTGGAGCGTAGCGGAGGCAAGGGGTGTGTGTGTGTGTGTGTGTAGAGGGGACGGGGCGCACCTGTCGAGCATCTGCAGCGACTGGTTGACCATGCGGTCGATGTCCGTGAGGTGCTCCAGCGTGAGGGCCTTCTCGCGCTCGGCCTGCTCGAACGAGCTCAGCAGCAGGTGGCGGTAGTGCGAGATGGTGTGGTGGCGGTCCTTGTGCAGCGCGCGCAGCAGCTTCTGCAGGCACTTCTGCACCCGGTGCGTCTGCGCACACAACACACACACGATCAGCTCACTTCAATACCAACAACAGCAATAATAATGACAATAATAATAGTAATAATAATAATAATAATAATAATAATAATAATAATAATAATAATAGTCGGCCCCGTGGCGCAGACGGTTGTGGCAGCCGTCGTCTGTGCCGAGGAGGCTGCAGGTTCGAGACCTGCGTAGACATGGTCATATTTGTGATTGTCCCTTCATCTATCATCATCATCCTATCATCTCATAAGTCACACTACAGGCGTAATAACCTTGTTGTAATCCAAGGATACAGCTGAAAAGCTGATCCTGGAAGAATTACACACGTTAATCGTCTATACGCAAATAATAATAATAATAATAATAATAATAATAATAATAATAATAATAATAATAATAATAATCCGAACCTGATAGCCGAGATCGCAAAGGCAGTAGTGCTGTGGCGATCTTGTACGGAAAGATTGCGGGATTGAGTCCCGTCTCGGGCATGAGTGTGTTTGTGTATGTATGCATGTGTCGATCGTCTATTCGTCCTTCAGTATTATCACCATCCCATCTTCCATCCCCCCTCGACTAGCAACCCTGTGGTATAGAAATCGGATTGAGCTTAATGCTAACCCTCCTGAAAAAGGAGTCACATGCACTTGCCACGGGATAAATGATACTGAGCCTCGTAAGTGCAGGTGCATATCTGCGTGGTCCGAGTCGGCCAATTTGCGACAAATAATATATTATAAAATAGTTTTCCACTCCCATTCAATAATTCTCATATTTGATGTCCGCAGCTCGTCAAATATTGTTACTCATTCAGATACACATAAGTGCAATCACAGAGAAGTTTATAGTTGCGGAGTAATCAGTCGCTTCTCATCGTTGTATTAAATGTGTCCGTGAATTGTGTGAATTACTGTGACGAGAGAACTCGTGCGGTATGGCGGTAAACTGCACATGACCTACCCCGTTTCCAAAACTCAGAAGACGGAATTCCCTTATGTGAACGGTAGCAGATATGAATATGATAAGAAGAAACAACAGATACTGGTCTTTTGTGACATTCCTTTAATAAATTTACTCATGTACTGACAGTCACATTGTGTTTCTGCTTAATCAATGCTCCCTGTGACATCTCGGGGACTGTCTAATAATTGGTGGCTCAATATTGCAAGCCGGCATTTACGGAGTAATTGCATAATACGGATAACACGCATTTATGTATACATGTAGTATTTGCCCTTTAGTTTAGGCAACCTCATATACACAGATGTTAAGCAGGTACGGACTTGACTATGAAATATCCTTGATTGTCAAAATGTAACTACCCAAACGTCAGAGCATAATGAGTTCACCGACAATCAAAAGAAAACGTCACATGTATTAGGGATGAGACATTGATGTCGTTTCCAAAATATTGATATTTTGATAGAAGTATCGATGTATTAAGTCTGGTGTTTTTTTAACAACAATGTTTTGTGCTAAATCGTTTTGTTTTCGATGTTTATTTTGTGACTGAAAAATTCTAATCATTACAATTCCGTTAAGTTTGTCAATTTTCGTCAAGTTCAAATATGAAATAATACCTGATGGTAAGACATGTTTGGTAACATTGATGTCGCATCACTAACATATATAAAACAGGTAAATGAAATTTCTCACTATAAATATTCATCGATAAAACAATCGAAGCGTTCATTTCCCACCTCTCTACATCCCCCAAAATATTTGTAACATTTCTTCCGAGACCCCAGCATTGATGGGACACTGTTCTGCTCTGCACATCAGACATTCTGTGTTGATGGGACATCCTGTGTTGCTGCGACATCCTGTATTGATGAGGCATCTTATATTGTTCGGCCACATGTAGAGATATGACACCTGTATTGGTAGAATATCCCATATTAAGGGGACATTATGTACTGATGGGACACCTTTATTGATAGGATACCAGTGTTTATGGGACACCTTTATTGATAGGATACCAGTATTTATGGGACACCCGTATTTATGGAACACCCTATCGATGGGACACCCGCATCGATGGGACACCCGCATCGATGGGACACCCGCATCGATGGGACACCTGTATTGATGGGACACCTGTATTGATGGGACACCTGTATTGATGGGACACCTGTATTGATGGGACACCCGTATCGATGGGACACCCGTATCGATGGGACACCTGTATTGATGGGACACTTGTATCGATGGGACACGTGTATTGATGGGACACCTGTATTGATGGGACACCTGTATCGATGGGACACCTGTATCGATGGGACCCCTTTTTTGATGGAACACCTGTATTTATGGGACACTCGTATTTATGGGAACACCGTATTGTACAATGGGACACATGTTCAATGTGACAGCAATATTGATGGGACATTTCATTGTCGGGACACTCATAGCAATGGAACACTCGCGTGCGCGTGGCCGGGGACTCACGTTGGGCGGTGCGTCGTTGAGCGCGGCGGTGTAGCAGCCCATGGCCTCCTTCTTGCGCGCGTTGATGTGGGCGGCGACGCGCTGCTGGTGCATGGCCACCAGCTGGCGCTTCTCCGCCGCGCCCTCGGCCTCCAGCGCCGCCACCGTCTGCTGGAAGCGCGCCGTCATGCGCCGCTTGAAGTCGTCGGCCGCGCGCGCGTCCGCGCCGCGCATGTCCTGGTAGCGCTCCTCCAGGTCCGACCAGTCCTTCATCACCTGCCACGCAGACGGAAATGCACACGTTACAAAACGGGGAGACCAGATTGTCGGCTTTGAACTAGGATTTTGCTTAAACCGGATGTTATCGTTAAAACCGGGAGATTTGTTAAAACTCGTTTTACTTAAACGAGGGTTCTATTTAAACCATATTCTCGTTTAAACCCGTTGTTTATTTAAACCGGTTTTTGTTTGTCCGCGCCGCGCATGTCCTGGTAGCGCTCCTCCATGTCGGACCAGTCCTTCATCACCTGCCACGCAGACGGAAATGCAGACGTTACAAAACGGGGAGACCAGATTGTCGGCTTTGAACTAGGATTTTGCTTAAACCGGGTGTTATCGTTAAAACCGGGAGATTTG